AAAGATCTGGAACATTTTATCGATCCAGAAGCGAAGGTTTGTAAAAATTGAAATCATCTTTTCACATCAAATTATTCATTCACTCGAAACTATTCATATAATTCATTCACTCGGGACTATTCATATAAAAAAAATAAAATTTTTATTAAATATATAAAATATATATTAATGGGGTTGGTAAAATTTACATTGTATTTCTAACGAAATCTAAAAATTGACAATTTTAAATAAAATAAGAACTTTTATTATCCTATTTGATTTAAACTTTAACTTAATACAAACTATGCTTCAGCTGTGTGACATTATCTCAAAGTGGGAGACAGCATTACGAGAGAAAGGTTCGGGAAAGTTTGAGAATACTAGAGTGATACAATTGACATATAAATCTCGTTGTTACTGGCGGCAAGCTGCTAAAATGGAAACAGATAAAGAGAGGCTTTTACTGTGTTACCAAGTGAATCAACAAGTTGTGCAAGGAAAATTTCCGCTAAATCGTGAACTCGCTTTTGAACTAGCATCGTTGATGGCACAGGTATAATTTATATTAATTAGATTTTTCATGCTTTTTAAATATATTTAAATAATAATTTTGTAGACATGTATTTTAATATTATTATAATTTATTATATTTATTATTATAAATTTATTATATTTATTGTTATTGTAAAATTAATTATTTTAAATAATTATTAATTAGTAAATAATTAAAGTATAATTGAATAATTGAATCAATTTATTATTCTTGATCATTTAATCAATTTCACAGATTGATTTTGGAGAATACAATAATGATAAAGCACGTGGAAGCGGCCCTGGAAGCAATCCACATCATCTCGTACTCCAAGCTCTGGATAAATTTTATCCATTACGCTATCGAGCCAACATTACCGCTGATCAATTGAGGTGAAAAATCGCTAAACTCAATTTTTTTTTAATATCAAGAGAATATTTATTTTTACGTTAAATTATACATTTCTTACTGTTTTATAACAAATTATTTTTACTCCATCAGGGAATTGCAGGAGAAGCTACAGGAAAAGTGGATCGCTTTAAAAGGACGTAGCGTATTAGATTGTGTTCGTATATATCTTACATGCACCAGAAAGTGGCCTTTCTTTGGAGCTACCCTGTATCAAGCAAAGGTATAATGATGTTATTACAAATATTTTATAAGTAGGATTTATAATTAGGTTATAAATAGGTTTTATAACTATGATTAATAATAGATTAATTGCATAATAATAGATTAAAATATATTTCGTATATTATATACGTATGTGATTTGAGTTTATTTAAATAATTTTCTTTATAGTTGAAGCAAGGCGATCCTGTGACGGTTTGGATAGCGGTTTCTGAAGATAGTGTAACGTTGCTTGAATTACAAACAATGGCTGTCATGTGCCGGTATAATTATGCGAATATAGTAACGTTCGGTGGCTGTTTGGATGATTTTATGCTCGTCGCTTGCCCGGACGAGGGTGCAGCTGAACAAAAATTGTTATTCGCACTCTCTAAACCCAAAGTGCGTATAATAGACTAACTTCTCGTGGAAAATTAATAATTTAGAAAAATATTAATTTTATCCATCCTTTATAGATTTTGGAAATAACATTATTGATCGCTGATTATATGAACGCGCTGGGCCACGCATTACCGGGCACTCCACAAATGAATACTCTAACACGCAATGGATCACATCGATCTATCAAATCCACTCTGAGACCTGCGACTGGTCAGTAAAAAAAGAGATATCTGTTTTATAAACATGTTATGTCAAATTATAATTATATTGGATTATTTCGAAGATTGATAAAAGTTGACAAATAAAGATTGATAAACAAAATTAAATATTGTGATTCAGAATCATTCTTGATTAATTGTTCCTTGTATCATAAATATTGATGATCGATCTCTTCTCAGAATTAATCTTGATAGACAAGCAACAAAAGTTAAATTTAATAGATGATTTTTGTAAATTGAATTTAATAGATAGATTTTTAACTAGTTTTTGTATAACGAAATAATGATTATATATTATTAGTCAGCAATTAACTCCAACTAATATTTTACAAAAACAATGTTTAATGATTTTTTTTTGCAGGTTCAAGCTGTCTTCCAACTCAACCTGATATATTAAAATCCACGCCAGATCACCAAAGACCTTAAAATGTCGCATCGCGTTAATTTTTTTGGAAAGACAATGAGAATATATTTCTTGGATTAGAACCAAGATCTGATTGCGATGAATATTTTGTTTGTCGTTTGTATCATATAAAAGCAGCATAACAGTGCAGTATTAGTATCGTACACTGCGATGTGCGGTGCGTTGTTTTTTTTTTTTCTCGAGAAATCGCAAACCTGTTCGAACCTGTCATGTTTACGTTTGTATGTGCATGTAAATTAATATCGACGCTTACAAGAATGTATCTGTGTAAATATTTAATAATAAGCGTAAGAGCTAACTACGAACGACCGTACTGGTGATTAAAAAGCGGCTAAAATCGAATCGAACACTAAAATCGATCTGTAACACTGCCTAATTTAGTATGTGCGATTACACATCGAATAGTTTCATCCAGCGGCTACGTAAGTAACAAGCTGAGACTTTTGCTACGCATTTATATATCAAATTAAAAACAGAAACAAAAAAGAATGCATAAAATATTGCGTAGTGATGTATTTACATCGTATCGTGTATATATTAATCAAAGTTATTAAATGTTTAGGAGTATATCTCTCGAATGACACAGCGATGCGTTTCTTCTCAATTTTCGATGTCGAACGGAACGCTTATATGAACATTATCGCTGTTATAATCTGGAACATAATCTTTTTAATTTTATTCAAAAGTTTTTGTTCTACTTTTATCAGACAAAAAGTTTTACATAAATTTATTTTGTCAAAATAAATTAATTTTTATAAATTTAATTGAAATTCAAATTGATTTAGGTTTAAATGAGATTAGGAATGTATAATTCATATATTGAAAATCGATCTGTGAATCGATCTTAGATCAACAGATTAGTTCACAGAGATCGCATTAAAAAGATTGATCTCTTGAAGATTGATCCAGAAATATTTATACAGTAAAATAAATTTTTTTTTTTTCCAGAATAAAACATAATTTTCACCAACTTTGAATAAAATATTTTATTTAGTAGAGACTTTATAACTAGTGTTGTTATAAAAATCATAGCACACAGTGAAACTTAAGCAATAAGAAATCAATATATTGGATTTGCTTCTGCTTAATTAAAATCTTAGGGTTTCTACTATGATTGGCCAATTCATTTATTACTTACGTTTTATTGCGTAATCAGGCATTGGATAGTTTTTTCGAATATATTCCTATCGAGAAAAATTGAAGATCGACTCATTCTTAAAACACGATTCACAACAAAATTGCAAAGGAGGAGATTGATTAAAAAGCCCTATCTTTTCAAAATGAATCTTCTCAAAGATCGAATTAAGGTCGAACATCCTTAATAGAGATTCGAGTCTCATGTGAGAATTTAAATTTAATTTAAATTTTGTATATTTCATAATTTGAATTTATTTCGAAATTAAATTCGATTTTGTGATATTAGCAAAGAAGGAAAGCATTCAGTATAGAAAAAAAAGATTATTTTATTTTAACAATTATAGGATAATAAATAGACCTGAAAACGGAACTGTCTCATTGACAAAAAAGAGAGACAGTCTATTTTTCTCTTTTCTCATTTTCGAATATTATTTGCTTCTTTTATGTGAGGCTACTCGTGAAATTGATCAACAAAGAAAAAATCCGATATACTCGTATTAACTTTGATAACAACTAGTCTCATATCTGATATTTATTTAAGATGTTAGCGATTATATGGTTTCTTTTTACAGGTACACGACCAAATAGATGTAATTGGGAACGTAATTTACTATTTAATATAACTAAGGTTACGTTCCTGCGCGTAGTATGTGTGCAACATTGTGTATTAAAACATATGTAACGATTATAACGTTGTCTATATACATACATATTAGGTGTGGGAAAAAGTTCGTGGCGTTTTTTCCGATAGATGGCATTAAAAAAACGCCACGAACTTTTTCCCATACCTAATATACACACACACACACACACACACACACACACACACACACACACACACACACAGAGAGAAAGCGAGAGAAAGGAGAGAAGTTTTGTACTCGCGTTTGACGTGTCCTACGTAACTAGTAAACGTCTTCCTTCTAGCGGTTACAAATTATGAGCTGAAAGTAGGGCTTTCGTGCAATACGTGCAAAACTTCGACGGTTTTGTAATTTTCGAAATTACACCACTCTGCGTCTGTCTCAAAATGGAATAATGGGTCTCGATTTTCGAAGGATCTCTGCAAGGTCTCTGGAAGACGTTTGAAAATCCCTCAGATCTTCGCGATCTTTAAATATCTAGATGGACTAAGATGCGCGTGTACTCGGCTTCATTTAGCACATTGTGAATGTTTGTATGAATAATTCGAACCTCAAACTATTGAGAGCAGTACAAAGATATGCAAGAATGACATTTTGTCCTTAATTTTTTATATAATATATCGAATGCTATTGTGCGTAGGTGATTAGCACCTGTGTATCATGATATAGTTAAAGGAATCGTACGCGTATTATACTCATTTATTCGTGTAAATATCACCATCAGAACGGACTTGCGTTTCTAAAAAATTAGTAGAATCAAAATAGGCAAAGAGAGCTAGCAATTTATACAATCAAGCTCTATGTGAATCGGATTCTACGGAGCCTATCTCACATTTATATTTATTATTTATTCATATGGAAAAGGTATGAGCGAGACAAGTGAAAAACATTGTACTATTGTACAGAAAAATAAATAAACTGCACATTAATACAATTTTACAGTCGATAGCGATTGTCAAACTATTCATTTAAGAGATAAGATAAAGAAGACATCTATAAAAAGACATCCACAAGTTTTATGATATAAAGAGGTTATTATAAACAAGAATAATAAATTTTTAACTATATCTATTTCTTATATATTTGTTAATTTTATAATTTGTACAGACAATTTGTATATAATTTACTTTTCAGTTTTTGTGACAATATAAGAAATTCAAACGCTTCAATCCACTTCTTCTGGTCTCACAGGATGTGTTAATGGAATCATAGATTTCTTTTTTACATCTTTTGATAAGGCTTTTCTCATATCTAAAAATAAGATGATATCTGTTATATCTCATACATATATAAATTTATTTTAGATTTTCTAGAGAACTCTGTACCATATGCATCTTCGTCTGGATCGCCATTGTAATATTCTAATACTGTCCTATACACAATGTATCCTAATTGTTGATACATTGTAATAGCCACCTTGTTGCTTACTCTAACAAAGAGATCCACAAAATATGCCTGTTTCCTAATTTAAAGAAAAATATATATGTAATAAAAGATATCAATAAGATCACAATTAACTAGGTATAATAAATTATAGTTTACTTTTCTGATACGTCCTCAAGATATTTCATCAACATTGCAGCAAGACCCAACCTTCTGTAATCAGGAGAAACTGTAAGGGCTGTTACATGACCATGCCAATTTTCTCCATGACCTTCAGCCTTCCCCATGACTTTGATGATTTCAAATAATAATGTTAAATAATAATGTTAAATGAAAATTTACTTTATATTCACAACAATATATTGGAAATAAATAAACTTACTGTAACCCATAATTTCACCGCTTGGAGATTCTGCCACTTGAATGTATTCTGGCCAATGTGAAAGATAATGCATATAAAATGAAAGTCCATACTAAGTAGAAATGCAAAAGATCAAGGAATATACATTAAAAAGTTTTATATTGATAAAATGTAATTTTATAATGTAAAAACTTTTTAGTTTCCCATTAGAAGTTTTTGAAAAAAAAAAAACGTTATTATAAATGAAATAATTTTAAATAAAATTATTCATAAATGAAACGATTTTAAAATAATCTTTCTCTGAGATTTATCGTCTTATTTTAAGAACTCAAATATTTATATGATGATTAATATAATTTTAGATTTATAAAATACATGTTAATAATGTTATTAATTTTATGTTAAGTGAAAGGATACTGTTTCTGTGAGTGGATCCAAATTCCTGAAAATAATATATATAATCATAACAATGACAACAATGAAAAATTGTTTAACTGAATATTAGGTTAGAAGAACTTGTCAAAATTACTTACACGTTATTAAATTTGAACAAATCATTGCATGTAAAGGGTCTAAGTGTCGTCATTTTCAAAAGTTGTTAAAGAAATAATTTACTTTATTCACTTGTCGATAAAATTTAATTCAAAATAGATCAGTAAAGACATTTAGAACAATTTCTACTGTCCCATGCTCATGCTAGGATTGCTAGGGTCCGTACAGAAAAACATGATGTAGAAAGATGTAGAGTTCTGCGGTAAGAGACACTTGTCTCGCGCGCGTGCGCGTCCGCCATTAATGGAGAACATGAATATAAGATAAAATAAGAAAACAATAACTATTTTACTGTTTTACTGTCACTTTCGTTCCCTGAATATAGTGGAACCAATAAAAAACCATCACTCGGTGTCCTAAGAGGTTCTGCATAATAAAAGGAACAGAGAACAGAGAATAAGAATTTTAACCTATCAGAAATCATGTATCGTGGAATATACAGTTTCTGAGGTTATAGATTGAAATTAATAACTCTATCTTAAAGGGTCCTCTACAGAAATCGTAGACGCCGTGGAGTCTTAAGGATTCATAGGAAACTGGCCAATTCTAATCGAGTATTCTCCTTATATTTAATTGTGATTGGTTGGTTTCCTAACTTAAGATTCCACGACTATCTACGACTTCTATGTAGAATACTCTTAACTCTTACCAGAGTAAACTCTAGATAGGAGTGACGATCCTGACAAGATTATTTACATCTCAATTGAACTGCAATGGATTTAAAATTTCGTGTATTTAAATAATAGCTTTTTTTTTACAAATAATCGATTATTCATTCACTATTCAAGTAAGAACAGTTACAATCATTTAAAAAAATTTATTAGAAATGTTAAAAGAATTATTATAAGAATTATAAAATATTGTATATAGCAGAGCATGAATCTCGAAATATCTTTTTTAAGGAAGTTTCAAAATATCGTCAAAATTATTAAAACAGATTGTTATAAAAGATAGCAAGAATCAGAATATTAACATATTCTTTATTAGTCTCGAAAATTTGTCCAAATTGTTGGAATATATCCTGACAAGAAATTTTATAAATAAAAATTCCGTAAAAATTAAAATTTTTATTCATATATTTGTAACCAGTTTTTCGATATCGGATATTAATATATCAGGCTTCTACATATACAGGATAGGAATAAATAATAAATACTTGTTTATCTAACAAAAGATTTTTAATGTCCATTCTAATTTCAGATATTGAGTATAATAATTACAATACATAAATGAAAATACTTAGCTTCTTATTTTTATGTTATTTACATATATCATTATATGAGAAATTGGACTGAATTGGACATGTGTATTATATATATATTTCAGAACATCATCGAAAAACTGTGGACAACAAAATTTCATAGGAAAAAAACTTAATTATGTTAAAAAAGCTTACATTGATTTTAGTTTATCTCTGTTTTTTCTCAGAACATTGCTATTTCTCCTTCCGTTGGGATGTCAGACTGTCGTGCATGTTCGTTACTACAGTTTCTATTAATCCTGGTATCACTGCACCATTAACATCAATGAAATTCGCAACGGATTTCGTAACACTTGTCTCATTAAAGATTCCCATTGATGTACTTTTAACTGACAACACCAGATTGTACTTATCATCATATTTTTTTAAATACGAACTTGCCTCCCAAATCATATCAGGATTGAAACCTGCTGGATCTCTGAAAGTGAAAGAAATTATGAGATCATAAAATTTTACAAATCCGTATTTCTATTCATGAAATGTAATTAATTTCTGCTTTAATATTAAAAAATAAGTTTAAATGAGTAAGATGTAAAATGTAAAGAGAAGACAAATGATTTAAATAAAAAGTATCATAATAATAAAAATAGAAAGAAGTTCCATAAATTATATACTGCAAACATATATATAAATTCACCTTTGAATTGCAACTATAAATATGCCTTTTTCTTTATACGTTGTATACAATGTCAAGAGTCCCATTAAAAGGAAATAGAAGGAGACACAAGCTATTAAAACAGGCTTGGAAGCAGGGAATGGATATAAGTAATCACATAATAGTGCTATGATAGCTATAGTAACAGTAATTCCGCAGAGGAACAATCTTCCATCAAGAAGAGAAAAATTTTCTATGTAATTATATTTCTTGGTGAGTACTTCCTTGACTGTATCATCCAAAGCATTTTTCACGGCTGAGCCATCCCACTTATTGATTTGTATGACCTACAGAATAAAAGCCTTTTATTTTGTTTTGATATAATAAGAAAATATATTTTATATAAAGACAAATTACAAATTAAAGTTGTAAAAAAGTTACGTAGTTAAACTGTAATAAAAATTATATATATAAACAAAAAAATTTTTGATTAAAATATACATCTTGCTCCAATTAAAAAATTACAAATTTTATTTGAATTACAAAAATTTGCGAATTGTGAATGCATTTAAAGTACATTAGAAACAATTGTACAACTAAGGAGAGATCTATTAAAATATAATCTCAATTATCCGGAATATATTCAACCATATGTGGCAACATCACAAATGACCTTAATGTCGGCGAAGTGAATAACGGCGCGATTCTACACAATTTATTTTCGTCGCAATGCACGCATAATTTTACGTTCGTAAAATGACATTTCAAATGATAATGATTTTTTATGAATAAGAAACGTACGGAATTCTCCGCTGCACCCATCACGACTATAACCTCTTAACAAAATACACGTCGCGTCTCTTCGGATGCACGTCGCACGATTTGGCACGAATGCACGAATAATCGGGCTTGATTTAATACGTCGATCGCTGTTAGTGGCTTTAAAGGTGCGACTTCATGTAGCGAGAAATCACTGGCGACTCGAGAGAGGTGGGAGAAAAAAATGACGCTGACCACCAATGTCAAGTTAATCAAGTATTCGTCGCTTTTCTGCAGTTTCCTATTCGTGTGATGACACTGACGACAAATCGCTAACCAATCGCTAACGACTTCAAAGTCTCAACTCTCAAGAGACCGGATGAGATGGACGTGTTTCGGTTTGGATATTGTATTATCTCGATTAATTTTTGGAAGTTTGCTGACTTTGATTGTACACAGGTATGACTGACCAAGTTTACTCCGTTCACGGAAACAAGGACCAATAAAACGAAGAAAAAGACTTCAATATTGTTATTATCAATATTGTTCATATTGTATTCAATATTGTTATCAATATTGTTATTAGAGTTAAAAATTACAGAAGAATGGTATTGTTTGTAGTAAAAAGAACAAATGAACAAATGAAGGTGACAATAGTTCAAACAGTATGTATTCTGCTAAGTGTGTAAATATCAATTTATTAATATTTTTCATGTTATTAATATTTTTTTTATTGATTTATTCATGTTTTTCGTGTTATATAGTAATCCCATTTTCCTCGAATTTGGCGAAACTCATATTGCTCCTTGAAATCAGTTATCAAGGATGTTTTTTCGTTATCCAACCAGAAGTGATTACACTTAATGCGGGGTCTACAATAGAAATCCTAGCAGTCGTAGGATATATGGCTGTGCTGAAAATCTATAGCGCACGTAAAGCCGGTTTTACATTAGTTGTAAGCTGATCGCAAGTTTGTTGCGACAGCCAATCTGAAGCTTACATTTTGAAATCAACACTTCATATTGGTTGTCGCAACAAACTTGCAATCGGCTTGCAACTAATATAGAATCGGCTTAACACGTTTGAAATTGTTTTCAGACTGAAGTCGACGTTTCAATTATCCTACACGAAGTTATCAGCAAATATCGATTGAGGGGACTGTTCTTTAGAGATTTCGTATTTATATTTTTTATTCAACAGCCTGTCGTGAATATTTATAAATTTATCATATAAATATTTATAAATTTATTAATTAGAAATTTGTCTTAACATCACAAAAATCAATTTTTAATCTAATTTAAATCTAACAAACTAGATGATGCATCGGTCCATATTTATTTTATATATATTGTTTTTTATAATACAATGAACACTTACACGTAAAAAATATACAACGCATACGGATGTACATACGTATTGCAGTGTACTATTCAGTATGTATAAATAATAAATTCTTAAAAAATCTCAGATAATCTTTTTAATAAACATATTGTTTCGCTAACGCTCTCAAAAATTTAGCTTTACGAATATTAGCCGCTTCTCTTTGGATCTCTTCGTTATTGTTAGAATTTAATTCTAACAAACCAATGACTTTGATCTGCAAAATAAAATTTTTATAAAGAATAATAATTATAAAGAGATATATTGATCTATTGATTATGATAACCAATTATTTAAAGTGATTAATTGTTATTTATAATTATGTCACTATAAAATTATGTAACATTTAATATTGACTTGATTCAGTTACTTGCCGCGAGTTGCTTTCTGTGATGCTCTCCACGCTTCGTGTGCAATTGTATAAGATACTCAAGTATCGTTGTATCCCAAATACAATGATAATATGCATCCATAGCATCAGCTGCGACACAGCTCTTCTGATCGCTAGCTGCCATTTTGAATGCCAAAGAATAATCTACTTCCTCCAAAAATTGGCACAACACAGCCGCCTGAGTGTAACATTGTAAATGAGCACAACATTTGATCATCCTTCTATAAACAAGATCATCTATTTGTGTACGTGGGATAGGTTGACTAAATAAATCGCTGGCTATCATGATTGCCTCCAAATAATATCTCATTGCACTTTCATAATAGTTTAGAACTAAAAAAAAGAGTAAATTATTAACAGTTTTATATATAATGCAATGTAATATATAAATAAAATACAAATATGTATATTATTATAATATTTATATTATTATATTTATAGTATTTGAAACAAAACATACCAAAATTAAGATCACCCATCAGTCTCAACCAAGGCACATTGCAAGGATAATATTTTAGAGCTTGCGTCAACAATTGGAATAATAATTCTCCAATATGTCTGATGTTATACGAATTTGCGCTGTAAATATTAATTTCTGTATAGGTATCACTTAAGATATTGAATATACTACTAATATTCAAAATACAATAGTAATATTAAAAATTAAATTTTTAATTGTTATTATAAAAATATGTAATATATATTATACAAGTTTAAAAAGAACTATTACAATAAATACACAATATATTGTAATAAACCCACTTTGGTACTCCGGCAGGCCAAAGAGACAAATACTGCGTGTGTAACTCTAGACTCGACTCATCACGTAAAATATTGCGCAAACGAGCTAATAATGATATTACTACAGTGAGAACCATAGGCTCTCGTAATCGAGTAAGTGTAAGGGCAATACTAGCAGCAACATCTCTTGACGAACTAGAACTTCCACTATTACTGCCACTACTGCTGCGTTTCTGTGACTGATCTCTAGTGGGACCAAATGCTGTTAAGACTAAAAGAATATATGATTTTATTTGATAAAATTTATTTTATCATGTATTTTCTTATTTTTTTAGCATAAAACAAATGGATTATTTACTGCATATGAAAATTATTTTCTTTATCTAGCATTATCAATTTAATACATAAATAATAAAAATTTCAAAATATGAATCTTTTTTTTTTTTTAAATTCTGTGTGTGTGTTTTGTGTGTGTGTGTGTGTGTGTGTGTGTGTGTGTGTGTGTGTGTGTGTGTGTGTGTGTGTGTGTGTGTGTATGTCTTTAATAAAAATACTCACTCATATCCCAAGCGTCTCGCGGAAATTTGCGAGTTCCTTTGTATTTAACAATGTCCTGGCAAACACTACTAATGGCAGCTGCAAATTCAGTGTAATTCCAGCGCTTCTCCAAACTAGTAAGATATTCCCACTCAGCTATATTTAGGAGAAAAACCGTACAGTATTCTATTACTTCTTGTCGCGGAATTAGCTGATCAGATGCTTGTAATGCACCAAGACATTGTTTACTTCGTACAATCATACTTTGCACATCACCTAAAAAATTGAATTATTACAAATTCGTTATTCTTTTTATAATTCTTAATTCTCCGTGTACGTACAGACGCTTGTCGTCGGCCAAGCTTGAAAACACTTCCATATCTCAACAAGCAGGCATTCCCAACTCACTAATTTGCATAATTTAAAGATCAATGAGCCTCCACTTTTTACGTGTTCCTGCAATTCTTTATCCAATACTTTGAGAAGCTCTATGGCGCCGTCAAAATTTTTGGAAGTTACCAACTCTCGACTCTTCGCAAGTAGAACATATGAATAATCTTGGAGAAATCCCCTAGGAAGTGTCATTACTACACTCTGCAATGGAATGGGTAACTCCCAACAGCCATTTACATGATACAACGGTTTCATTCGATGTTTCCCATCAAGCAGGATCAATGTTTCACGAATTACATGAGAATCATATGACTCTATCAACTTTTGTTCCAATTCAAACACTTCGATTCTTGCTTTTTCTATAAATTTTAACAAAAAAATTGTAGTCCATATATACTAAAATTTTAATAATATATTTAATGATACCTTCTTTTATTTTTCTCATAATAGTTTATACTTACGTATAAATGATACAGATGGAATCCCCCAATCGTTATGTAATAACAAGTCTGGTATTTCCACCTCATCAGAAATAGTTGCTTGCTGAAGGACTGTGAGTTCTGCTTCATCGAATAATGATGCATAGGAAGAATTGTTGAATAACTTTGAAGCAAGTCCTTCTATATCAGCAGTGTTTACAAGATAAAGAAAGTAACGTGAAATTCGTTTTTTATCCATAATTGTTGCTTTATCCAGGACATTATCTAAAGCCTAATACATAACAAAATTTGTGATTAATAATTTAGAAAAAACATTTTATTAAATTATATGAATAATTAGTATTAAATTAATATATACTAAAAAAAAAAATAAGGAAAATTATTTTATGGAATAATAAAAAAATCTAAAAACTTTTATTTTCAATCATTTAAAAGAAAACAAATTATTTTGTCAGTAATCAGAGAATTTAATGGAGAAGCATTTACAAAAATGTAAATAAAAGATATTTTACCCAGAATAAAACATCTAGACCCTTCGTACCAGCTGCCTTAATTTCAGTTATGTAGTCACCCAAGATTATACTATCGTCAAGAATTTTTCTAACCAGATTCAAACACTCTATTTGCAACAAAAGATCGCGGGCGACTACAAATTTTCTATTAACTAATCCACCTTGTACGTCTAGTTCCAAATTATCTCTATAAACTTGTGGTATCTCCCTAAAAACATTATCTGCTTGCAAAATCTGCAATATATTCTGCAGATTTTGCATGTATCATGAATATACATTATTCAAAAATATATATGTGATAAATGCATAAAAATATACCTACAGTGTATTGATCTTTGATAGAAGCGTGTAAACGCTGCGTTAGACTAAGCGTGACTTCTTCTAGTGGTACTTCACATGCTAAACAACAGCCGTCTAAAAATTCTTTCTGCACTTTACAATACATTAATTTTTCTGCTGGATTAAAACTACTGTACAACTCTTTTGCTTGTTTAATATGGCGTTTGGCTTCTTGATAATCTTCTCTCAATAAATGAAACATTGCGAGATCATAATGTATCTAAAAAATAATTCATTATTTCATTATTTCCTCTCAACATCAAAGATAATAATATCCAGCTTTTGCAATTCTCGTACCTGACATTTAAATTCATCTATGTTTACCAAGTACATATTTTCCCAATTTTGTTTGATCTCCGTACTATCCTCTGTCAGCATTTGGAAAGTATCAAAAGACAAAACCTTTGGTTTTATATCGATCATTTGTAAAATATCATTTAGGGCACTTAC